ATAATCATTTAGACTAGTATCCTTATCTTTGTTATTTTTAGTACATGTTAACCAAGGTGATCCTCTCATCTATGGTGGGATGCTGAAAAGTTCTTGACCCAAGCAAGAAACCCCCTTCAAAATAAGATTCAGATGTTATGTTATTTGGAAAGTGTGCCAGAATAGAAACTATTCAGCACTCCCTCAAGCACTGGATCTGGTAATTATTGACTATTTGTGAATAATTTAAAATTGTCTGTCAGTAATGGTCAAGTAGCTGTTATCTAAATCTGTCCATTAATTTAATAAGGACATTGCAATAAAAACAAAAAAAAACATTGATGACCAGTGCAAATAATTTAATGGAATAATGATAATCCTTTATCTTTAAATTTTACATCATCTCTAATTGCAGATAATGGAAATTTTTGAGGCCGAACTTTGAAAGGAGAAAATTTTCATCCATGTTTAATAGATTAATTCTCATTTGAAAATGAGTGTAAGGCCATAGACGTTCTGCCTTAATTACTTTTGGTCAGCAAAGTAAAAGAGGGTGGAAACAGTCAGCAATAGGGTATATGAAGAGGGGGTAGATTAATAGCAGGATTACATGCAAGTTAGTCTATGAGATATGGATGTATGTTGAAGGAGGGGAAATATCTAGTCTCTTATGTAGAATAATTAACAAGAAAATCTGAACAATAATCAATATAGTGATTCATAGCAGATCAAAAATAAAATAAAGAATTAGTTAAATGATTACTAGTTGCAATCAAACCAATATATAGTTTAATTTATACATGAAAGAAAAATGTTAGTAAAATGATGGGAGATATATATCACCAATAAAGGTATAGAACATGCAATAAATAAACACACAAAAATGCTTAATGTCCATAAGTATAAAGCAACATCTGTAAAACTTGCACAGTAATTTACCAGCTAATGAATTTTCACTGGAAGAATCATCAGGCTAAGTTTACAAGTATTCCTTATAGAAAAAGATGGTGAAAGGAACACATATACACATGTTTCAAAAAGTATATTAAAATGATTGATTCGATCAAACCATGATTGTTAAAATGGCAAACTTTAACAATGCTATATTTCTTTAGCATCCTGAAGGGTGAGGGAGAGGTACTAGTTAATACCAATAGCGAATTGAAAACCCTTGCATCATATAGTTTGTTTGCCTCTTAGAATAAAATGGACATGGTTTAATTATTCCATCTTCAGGAATTAATGAAAAAAAAAAAAGAAAAGAAAAAAAAAACAATATTAAAATATTTACCATTTAAACAATCAGTATTTGAATATCTCATTTGAATATATGCCTTGGAATAGGCAAGCTTGTTAATTATTATTATTGAATATTTTTAGATTATGGACACTATTATTATGTAATATTTTAATTTTATTATATTATTATTATAATTTTATTACAGATATTTATTATTTTTATAACTATTTTATTGTTCATTTTCCTATTATGACAAATATTTATTATTATTATTTTAGTGTTCATTTTGCTATTATTATTATTAATATTATTTTAGTGTTCATTTTGCTATTATTATTATTAATATTATTTTAGTGTTCATTTTGCTATTATTATTATTAATATTATTTTAGTGTTCATTTTGCTATTATTTTATTAATATTATTTTAGTGCTCATTTTGCTATTATTATTAATATATTATTATTATTATTTTAGTGTTCATTTTGCTATTATTATTATTATTAATATTATTTCAGTGTTCATTTTGCTATTATTATTATTAATAATATTATTATTATTTTAGTGTTCATTTTGCTATTATTATTATTAATATTATTTCAGTGTTCATTTTGCTATTATTATTATTTTAGTGTTCATTTTCCTATTATTATTAATATTATTATTATTTTTTAGTGTTCATTTTCCTATTATTATTAATATTATTATTATTTTAGTGTTCATTTTCCTATTATTATTAATATTATTATTTTAGTGTTCATTTTCCTATTATTATTATTATTATTATTTTAGTGTTCATTTTCCTATTATTATTAATATTATTATTATTTTAGTGTTCATTTTCCTATTATTATTAATATTATTATTATTTTAGTGTTCATTTTCCTATTATTATTAATATTATTATTATTTTAGTGTTCATTTTCCTATTATTAATTTATTACAGATATTTATTATTATTATTTATATATTAGTATGAAAATAATTTTATCTTATCATTTTCATTATAATATAAATTTTATTATGGACATTTATTATTTTTATAATTATTTTAGTGTTCATTTTCCTATTATTACAAATATTTATTATTATTTTAGTGTTCATTTTCCTATTATTAATTTATTACAGATATTTATTATTAATTTTGTATTATTATTATTATATTATTTGATTATGGAAATAATTTTATCTTATTATCATTTTTATTATATATAATATAAATTTTAGTATGGACATTTATTATTTTTATTATTATATTATGGAAAATTTTAAATCTAGCCAAAAATAAGGACATTTCCATTACAGACTTGAACAAAAGAGGTATGATTGTTATCATATATAGCATTTTTTTTTTTTTTTTTAGATAGGCCACCAGTTCTGGCATGAGGTGCACTATGACTTGGTCTTTAGTAAAGAGCACCACAACCACAAACATAACAAAACAGATTTTAACAAAGGTTTCCCCTCAAGGATTAGTTATTGCCAATTTAGGAACAGAAAATGAAACATTTCAACAAAAACATAAAAGCATTAACAAATTTAGTCCCAAATAAAGACATTTTCCTCACTACCTTGGACAGAGGAGGTAGGATTGTTATATTGAATATAAATACCTACAATGAAAAAAATAAGGGTTTCACTGATATCCAATGATGTAAATGTTAATGAATATGAATATACATATATATATATATATATATATATATATATATATATATATATATATATATGTAGTAATCTGTTGGTATAATCCAGGCAAGTCCTATTAACACAACATAGAATTAGAAATATGTTAAACCTGACTCACAAAAGGGCGCTTCATGTTTATTTTCAATAAACAGAGCAAATTTTCTTTACAATTGGAATTAAGATACCTTAGTAAGTGACCATTTTCACCTATGAATTTTAATTTTAAAATTTGCAGGATTTTTCAACCTGTTTCTGGTATCAGTTTGCAGTGTACTGTTTATTTGGAGAAAGAAAGTGAGAGGGTGTGTTATTGGAGACCTATTTAGAGACGGGGGGGGGGGGAGAGATACATACATACACACACACAGCATGCCATTTTAAATATCTGAAGAAAACTTGGTAACCAACCAGAGGGAACCTTACTGCACATGCATGAAAAGTGAAATGCAATGTGTATTCAAAATCATTATTCACAATAACTAATTCTGTCTATTCTTCATGTTTTCAGGTTTGAGACAAAACATTGCCTCACACATGTCTGTCCCTTCCTCTTCCACACACAAAATAGATTTCTGGCTTTTGTCAAAGCTAAAATCTCTATGGAGGCTTTCCAACTATAGATGTGAGTAATGAAGCAAAAAACAAAAAAAAAAAAAAAAAAAACCCCAAAACAAATGATCAGGCAGTGGATGGCAATGCCAAAAAGGACTTGACAGACCATTTTGAAAAGTGGAAGAGATATCAGAATAAGCGTGTGAGTATATTGAAGTGGACTAAGGTGTCATTGGTAGACAATATTTTTGGTGATATTAAATGGCTGAATACTTTCCAGGCATACTTTGTGCGAGGATAGGCAGACACACACACATATATAAATTAATGATTGTGCAATAAAGTATAGTAAGCAGTTAGTAATTATTACCACCTGAAATTTAAAAAATTAAAACCAGAAAAATAATCCAATGTTAGAATTATTCGTAATTAATTCATAAACAAGACATTTCTTCATTTTCTTTCAGTGGGAGAGACTGTCAAAATTATTCTTAAAGAAAAATGATACAAGGTTACATGTGACCACATTTATTACCCAAAATAGAGTGGCTGAACATATTGAAAAATAATTAATTAAGATGGTTATGTCATTGTCTTATCACAAGATTTTCAAATCATATACATTTCACATCATTTCTTTTTAAAAACATCATCCAAAAACTTTTTTTCCCAATAATTTAAAAGAAAATTAACTATAAATGGAAAAAAAATATGAAAAAGATCTAAACAAAAATAGAATCATAATGGCAGGAAATGAGTTTTAATTTATTGATTGATTTGTTTTTTTATGACTTATCAACCTCTTGCAGGTTATTTAAAGCTAGAAAATATTTTTCAATTCTAAGAATTATTTTGAGATAATTAACAGATACAAGTCCTACTAATTAACCCATAGCTGGGGGCGGAATCATACATGCAAATAACCTTGGGAAAAGTAAGTGAATATAATGGACCCATCTGGAATTGGAACTCTGCTCCCATATTTCCAATTCCAAGCTTACAGTACCTGGTATTCCCAAGTGGTCACTCATTTAGGTACTGACCAGGTTCAACATTGCTCAACTTCAGAGATTATACAAGAACCAGTGTTTCAACATGATATGGATATAAACATGACTGAGTTTAAATTAAAGTATGACTATATATCACTAAAGTTTGTATTTTAGTTAAGAATGTATGAATAAGTAACATCATATATACTAGAATACTTGTGCTGTCAAAATTGATGGCAAGAAGGAATGTAGTATAAGTAATATGTATTATATTGTAAGTAATTTTCATTTAAACCATGTACAATTTTTTAATTTAAAATATCTCATTGTTAACGTTAATAATTGAACATCGTACAATTTATAAACACCTCAGGAAAGATATTCGTATTTTATCCTCATAAATGTTACATATTTATAACTCAAAATTTTTTTCCTGCAAAAGTTCCCAAAGCACAATAATGTGAAGCTGTCCATCCTTCTAGTCAGGTTTTTGTTAAATGTCAAAATTCTGAGTGTCGAGATTCGATACAATTTAGTTCTTACTGTGAACTGTGTTGCCTTAGGGAGCGGTTCTCTTTGTAGTTCACCGCACCCTCCCTTGTCAACTTGTGCAAAGAGAGGGTGGAAAGAAGAGGGCTGCTTTGTAGTTTGCCAGCGTGTTAGCTTTTTGCATGTGGACATGAATAGGGTCTTTTGCACACTGCCCCTCAATTGTTACACACACACAAAAAAAACATATTAGTGAATATACATAATATCCTACACAGTAGCACAACTTGGAGTTTCATGCAGTCCTGCAATCTTCAGGTGCTGAGTAGATTCTAATGTTACATAACATTGAGCACTGTATTTATAATACCTGAGGAAGAAATATATTTAGCAATCATATATATATATATATATATATATATATATATATAGCTAAGGATGAACAACTAATATTAAGTAGATAGATTCATAGATAATAATAATCAACATCATCTTCAAACTGATTTTTCTTCTGCAATTTTCTTAATTTTTAGCACTCTGCATTATTAATATTAATTTCCTTTCTACGGTATTATTTTTCAAGGCCTCTCAATTGCAGTATCCTCATTGTTAATTTCACTCAAAGTTGTTTTCTGTTGCCATGGCAGGATATGATAATACAACTATAAAATTCAAACACACTATTGTTCAGAGATCAGAGTCACCTTCAGTGGCAGGATAAATTTTTCATACAGCAAATGAAATTACTGAGTAATAAAGGTTAAGATTATTTCAATACTAATTTCATTTTAAATTAATCATTTTCATTATTATTTTATGATGACTTTTGCTCTGAACTTCCGGTATGAGGAGTTATCATTATTTACAGTTTGACTAATCTCCTCATCTTTGTTGTTAAGATCATGTTTAAGCCATCTTGCCTACTTCAGGTACCTGTCAATTTGGGTAGCCTTCAGGGAATTCCTAAAAAAGGCAATGCTTTCTCCATTTGAAGCAGAGTGTGCAACCCACAAAACTGAAGAATTTTGGTCACTTTACATCTCCATGAGTGGTCCAGGCTTGGCAGATGGAGGTTATTATGGAGCCACCATCTCTAGAATGGTTGCTAACCAAGGCTACAGAATCCACTCTGTCCTGTTACTTAACCCATAGCTAGAAGAAGAGATGGGTTTATATCTTTCCTAAGGATATTTGCACAAAAGTGAATGTAATAAACTTGGGCGGAATTTGAACTCAGCTCTTCGATTTCTCATTCCAAGCAGCAATCCATTACACTCGACTCACATCCATAGGGAATTTCAAAATGAACCCTTTTTCTTCTATGGAAGTATACTGTTCTCAATTGGCTCCCTATGTCTAATATCTCATCTTGGTTAATTGTGCTGTTGGATAATGGCCTCAAAAGATTAAAGTGTTGGTTAATGTATTTGATGAATTTAGACTTCTCATTGTTCCTAAAATTGAAAGAGGTATTAAAAAGGTCAGGACTTTTTCATCTGATGCCAATGTTGTGTGCAATTGGATCAAAAAGAAACCCAAGACTTTCTTTATGGATAGTGGGGAGTGGATAGAATGTCTGGAAAACTGTTTAGATCTAAATGGTGATTATTTTGAAAAATAAATTAATGATTTTAAAGAGAATTAAATTGACTTCGTTTTGATACCAGTTTCATTACTCTATCTAGTCTACAATTTGTTTTTAGAGGATTGGACACCTTACTTATTAATCAACCCTTGTAATTTTGAAGAGAACTAAATTTACTTAATTTTGATACCAGTTGATATTATCTGGTCTAAAACGTGTTTCATCATATTGGAGATCTTACTTACCAATCAACCTTAGCCTCCTATATTGTCATTGTTGATTCAATCCTGTTTTTATGGATATGAAAAGCAGCCAAAATAAATGAAATATTTGGCTGCATCTTTGATCCTTTGGTGTTTATATTAAAACTATATAAAAAAAAATTATCTAGACTTAAAGAAGCGCCATAGTGCAGTGGTTAGTGTTTAGTATATTAATTTCACAAAGCATAGACAAAATTCATGGTTAGGTTAAGTTGGCTGATTTTATGACATGTCAGCTTTTTCTTTGGTTATCTAAAGTCAAATTTCATATGGGCAACCAAGTGAGGATGGCAGTCATTATTCCGTTTGAATGGTCAACCAGACTAGTATTGTTAACCATCACCCAATGCTGAGACACTGACAAAAATTGGCATTCCATAAATACAGCAGTCCAACAAATAGACACATGCTCAACATCAGGATCATTTTACCTGTCTCACCTGAAAATTACAAAATATTTGTTTTTTTTGTTTTTTTATTTACCAAGATGTCACATTACTAATAATAACACCAACTATATAGCTTATCAGTAGACATAATAGATATGTCACTTGCCCTAATGATGTAAGAAAGTGTGCAAAGAAAAGCCTAGTTTGAAAACATCTGAATAATCTGTTCATTACAGATCTTAACTAGCCAAGTGTGACAAAATAAAATGTCAAAGCAGTCTTAATATTCTTTGTAAAGCTACAATCATCTGCTTTTTTTTTTTGTAGAAAGAAACATTCATATATAGTAAATTGTATCTTGGTACTCTTTTTCTCTCAAACGGTGTCCAACTGATCCTACTATACTGTGCAGTCAACAAAATAAAATACAAACAATGTGTATACAAAAATTAAATATATATATATATATATATATATATATATATATATATATATATATATATATGAGAGATCAGAGTTGCTCTGACAAGAGAAAAAAGTATATTTTTTAGAAAGAGAAACCATAAACGTTTTTGGTTACAATGTGGATTTTTTAAAAATATATACTTTAGTTTCCATATTTTAGAAATTTGGTAAATAAAGTATAGTATATATTTTTAAAAAATCCACATTGTAACCAAAAACGTTTTAAATTTCTCTCTACTTTTATATATATATATATATATATATAAGAAAAAAAGAACAATATAAGAACATAAATTAAGAAGACTGAAGATGCCAATTAACATTGCATTTAAATTTTTGAAGATCAAACTTGGCTGGAAGCAATAAGCCAAAAGAGAGTTCCACAAGCAAGAAGTGCAATAGAAGAAACTGTTAGCATAGAACTTACGGTTACATCTAGCCATTTCAACTGTTGATGAGACGTTGCTTCCAATCTAATATGCCGCTTAAATTCATAAAGTCTATGTACCATAATGGAAAATTAATCAGAACAATTTCCAAGAAAGTATTTATAGAAAAGGCACAGAGAAGCTACATTATAGCAATGGATAAGTGAACAAAGCCAAGATGCCTGATCAGGACCATTAACATTGCTGTTTCTTCTTTGGATTTTATCAAGTATCTCTAAATATATAGCAGAAGCACCAGACCAGATGTGGCAGCAATATTCAAAGTAAAGAGAAATGATAGGCTTATTAATAGGTACACTTCTTTTTTTTTTTTTACAGCTTATCAAGCTTTTATAGGGTATTTAAAGCCAGAAAATATTCTTAGATTGTAAGAATTTTTTGACAATGATTTTACTGATAAAAGTTTTCCTAATTAACCCATAGGTGGAGGGAGAAGAGATAGATTTATACCTTTCCAAAAGGAATTTGCACGTAAGTAAATATAATGAACCAGATGGAAATGGAACTCGGCCCCCGATTTCCAATTCCAAGCTGTTTATTCATTACACCACCCACACATCCAAGCTTACAGCACCTGGTATTCTCAAGCAGTCAACCATCCAGGCTTGAAGTAAAATAATACATTTTTTTTTTTCATAAAAAAGAGAAATATCTTACATTTCATGCTTAGATGAAATTGCATGAGATTCTTTTTTCTTGAATGAAGAAACACAGAAAAAACAAAACACTCACTGCATTGGTTGCTCCCAATAATTGGTCTGATCATAATTTTGATTTAAAAAATGCTACTCTAATAAAAAGAGAAAGCAATTTACTAAGGCTAAAATATATAGTGCTTTAACTGCTAGATCATCCATAGTAATTTTATGTCCAAGTTCTTACATTTTACCTTACTTAGCAGATTTTTTTATTGTAATGTGGGATACTTAATAATAAAAGCGGCATAAACAAAAAGAAAAGATTAAATGAAATCAACCCGTCTATATACCCAAACACATAATAAAAAAAATAAAAAAATTAAAGTATTTAAATTTAAAATTTCAGAAGATCTCCTCTCCTTCATGTGCATATTTATTCACATCAATGTAAACATCACTTTAATCTGTTGGAAGTCCTGAAGTATGAAATGCATCACATGAAAAAAAATTTTTTTTTTTTTTTTTTTTTTTTTACTTTGTTATAGATTTTCCTATTATGGATTCTCGTTCAAAATCTTTGGTATCCAACCAATTATAAATTATAAATGTAGTTTTTCTTATTTATATCAAGTACAGAAACTCATTAACAACAGATATAATCCCTCTGACAAAAACCTGCTCATGCACATTTATGTTTGTTCAAAAGGCCTTTCTTGTGTATGATATGAGAAATTTCAAATAAAAATTAAAAGCAAGAAGATGGGGGGGCGTATTATACACAAGTAAATGTTTTCTGAAATTTTTATTCAGTTTATAAACACCTCTTATTTGAAACAAAATGATTACAAATACACCCAGTTGGCACAATAGATAATAAAACACAAAGCAGGCAGGTGTTGATAACAATTGTTTACAAAAGGTATTTGATATGTCGGCAACATGTTCTTTGGGAAACAGCATAATTGAACATCTCTTGTCCCAAAGACAGGAAATTCAATGAAATTGATTTTAAAAAAATTAACAAAGGGAATACACAAGATTTGTCATGTTTCGATAACATTAACGTTACAACAAAGCACCTTTCCCCAAAAATTCTAAAATAAGTTTTCGAAGTGGAAATTAAAAGAAACATACAATGGCTAAACATCCAGTTCATTTGCATTCTTTAACATTGTGAAAAATTGAATATTTTAGTGAAATAGATGTACGACTTTTTTAATGGATAACGGGGCATGATATTTCAAAAAAGAATTTACATAGGGATAGGTGTACTATATTATATAAGGATACTTGTCATATTATACTCATGGATGTACTTTATTCATATTTTCTTGATTTCAGATGAAAACTTGGCCATTTTCCAGCATATTTTAGTGAAATTTACACTTTCCAAAATTGTAATT